ATTGGGCTACACATGCTAATAATGCCGTTGTAGATGAGTTGTACAGATGAAGGTCTTGTTGCTGTGTTCTTGCTTCACGGCTTGAATGCGGTACCGGGGTTGTAGTCTGTATGATTTGTCGCAAATAACCGGTCCTTTAGCATATTGTTGGTATGGTATTTGGGAACGTCCCGTCTTGAAACACGGACCAAGGAGTCTAGCATATCTGCAAGCCGTAGCAATTTTAATTGTGAAGGCGTAATGAAAGTGTATTGTGTTAACAGCACAAACCGGGCCTTTAGGTCTGAGTTAGAGTAAATATGCTAGTACCCGAAAGGTGATGAACTATGCCCGGACTGGTTGAAGTCAGGAGAAATCCTGATGGAGGACCTCCCGCGGTGCTGACGTGCAAATCGCTCGTCCGAGCTGGGTATAGGAGCGAAAGACTCATCGAATCGCCTAGTAGCTGGTTCCTGCCGAAATTTCCCTCAGGATAGCGGAGATCTTCAAATAGTTTTGCCAGGTAAAGCTAATGATTAGAGATCTTGGAGGTTGATAGCCTTCAATCTATTCTCAAACTTTAAATGGGCAATATCCAGAACTTACTTAACGGAAGTGCTGGTTTAATAAGGATCTCTAGTGGGCCGTGGTTTGGTAAGCAGATCAGGTAAAGCGGGAATGAGAAGCATTGGACACTCAGGTATGTGATAGGGTAAATCTTTAATATGATGATATTGGTGCATCAACGGTTGTAGCAAAATTGTGTGTGAAATATGGTGGAAGTGTTGTTTAGGGATCACTATTAGAATCATCATCAGAATCTTCTTCAAGAGTATCTAAACTATCCCAGTTGAATTGTCTTCCTTGTTCTTGTTCTTGAATGACAGTTCGCAAAAATGTTTGCATGATATCATTGAAAACTTGTTGATTTTCTGGAGTAATGACTAAATTGGTCATGGCTTGTGACAGACCTCCTTCGTTTTCATGTTGCAAACTGTTTGAGTGATATAAATTGAGAATTTGATCTCCATGTTGTCTCATGACTCGTTCCAAAATATTTCTTTCAAGTGAATCGTCAACTTCTTTTTCTAAATTCGATAAAATGTCTGCCTTCTCGAGAGTAGGAGCCCAGAAAAACAGACGGCTCGACTCAATAGAATTGGAAATCAGTCGATAATCATCCAAGTTCATTAATAAATGCACCACACCTTCGTGTCCACTGAGAGTGCGAACCAACTTTCCTGACCATGTATCGTAAATATAAATCTTGTTGTCTTCACTTCCTGTGAGAACATACTTCTCTTCTCTAAAGAAAGTTGAGCTAACATTGTAACTCTTGCATTCATGCTGTGAGTAGGTTTGTACAACAAACGGATCCAGAGATGAGACGTCACAGATGGTAGTTGAGGGCATTTTTCTGACATCGAACAGTCTCATAGTACTATCTCTTCCACTAGAGAGTAAATGCAAATCGTCTTTCGTAATTTGTAATTGATTCATTTTTCCATTGTGAGACTTGATTTTGAATTTTGGCTTCGCTGTATTTACTCCCGTATTACTATTGAAAACCAAACATCTTGTGTCATACATTCTCAAACAACCGTCACGTGAAGCAGTATAAAGAATGTTTGGTGATCGATTTGCAGATAACAAGGAGTTAATTGTGTTTAAACCTCCAAGCGCGTCCTTTGGGTCGTTTTGAATTTGAAAAACGACTTGATGATTGCTATTAATGTCCCATCCATAAATAAATCCACTAATGCATCCCGAATATAACGTAGTAGCATCACAGTTGGTATTCAAGCAACGAATCCAGTCTTTGTGATCCTTCAATGTTTGAATATTATTCTCACCATGCCATACTTTGATGGTTTTATCGAGAGATGACGTATAGAACATTTCTCTATCGATCGGATGGCCTTTCTCTGACGACGGTTGAACATTCTCTGATGAATGTTGTTGCTGTTCGGTGATTCGATTTTTCACAAAGTGTATTTGTGTGACAATTTCCTTGTGATGTGATTTAAATTCCTTGGTCTTGACACCATCATAGTTAAATAATAATAAATTAGCTCTTCCATTGCTAGTCGCAACGATATTATGATGATTAGTGGTGAGACAAAAACAACAATCCTCTCCTCCACTCGATCCCGTCTTAAACTCGCCCATAAACGCAACATGATTCACATCCAAAATATTCATCAATCTTTTTTCAATATTCATATCCAGCAAATTTTGTACCGAGTGATTGGTTCGATGTTTTTTCATACTCATCAAGAAGGGTCTACTTTTTAAATAATTATAAAAACTTTTTTGACTCCGATCAAAGAGTTTTGCATCGTATTGGGATTCCATGATTGGGGCCATAACGATCGGTTGAGGAGTTTTTGTTGGAGAAGGAGTGGAATGGGTCGACACAGAATTTGCACCCAAGGATGATGAAATCATTTTTTTTGTAAAAAATATGAATTTCTTTACTTTATAAATATAGAGAGATAGCGATGAACCTGATTTGAAAGGTTCCCAATTCGTTCGGATGAAAATTCTTGATGATTAGATGAGGAACCTTTTGAGAAGTCCTTCCTCATGCATTCATGATGAGGATGAGGATGGTGATTCTCCATGTTGGTGTGGTTGGAGGAGGAGCTCGTTGAAATTGTTCGCCCGCTCCGATCATCTCTTTCCCTTCTTCTTTCTTCATCATCCAACGCATCGTTTAAAAAAAGACTTAAAAAAAAATCAACATTCAACTCCATCATCATTATCCACGTTATTAATACCACCATTTTATAATTATTGGATTTTCATAAACAATCTTCCACCACGATAGATCCAACAACCATAACAACCATTAACAACCATTAACAACAAAATAATAACAACATGGTCCTCTTGAAGAATGTCAAAAACTTTACCAAACACTACGATATCATTGTGATTGGTGCCGGAGCTGGTCTTGGAAAATTAGGACGACCTGCCACAGAATATGGATACTCGGTGGCCTTGTGCGAAAATGATCGGCTCGGAGGCACTTGCTTGAATCGGGGTTGTATTCCATCGAAAATGTTGATTCATCCAGCAGATGTCATTCAAACCATTGAATCGGCTCATCGTTTTGAAGTTGATGTGAAAAAGAAGGAAACATCCACGAGTGGAGAGAAGGGTGAATTGGATTACGACGTTCGATTTTCGGAATTGGTGGCTCGTGTCTCAAAAACCATCGATGAGGAAAGTGATTCCATTCTTCCCAATGTTGAAAAGAATCAAAAATTGGATTGGTTTGTTGGACAAACTGCGAGATTTATTGGTGAAAGAACATTACAAGTGGGCTCTCCGGATGACAATGTGGTCATTACTGCCGATCGAGTGTTTGTTGCAGCTGGCGCAAGAGCTGTTGATTTATCGGATCAAATTGAAGGATTGGCTTCCACTCCATACATGACCTACAGAGAGGCTCTCAGAAATCAACAACGATTGAAGAGATTAATTTGTATTGGAGCTGGATATATTGCTACAGAGTTGTGTCACTTCTTTTCAAGTACTGGTACTCATACTACTTTATTTGTGAGATCTAAATTTTTGAAACATGAAGATGAAGAAGTTCAAAAAGAATTTGAACGAGTGTTTGTCAAGAGGAAGAATATTGAGGTTAAGCAAGGAATGAAACCTCTCAGAGTGAGATATGAAAATAATGAATTTATTTTGACTTATTTGAATCCCAACTTGGATACAGCACAAGAGCAAGAAATTCGTGCTGATGGTTTGTTAGGTATGTTTGCGAATTTTTCAATTTCCTTTTTTCATTCATATTGACATAATTGTGCGCATCATCACCATTCGAAACTGTTTTCTATCTTCATTTGATTTCATATCAAATTCATGATGTGTGTGGAAATGCAAAAAATAGTTGCTGCTGGAATTAGACCCAATACTGATGTATTGCAATGTGAAAAGGCTGGAATTCAACTCACAAAAGATGGATTTGTAAAAGTCGATCAATATTTACGATCGGTGAGTGCACCCAATGTTTGGGCCTTTGGTGACATTGCAGGAAATTATCTATTCCGTCACAATGCAAACTTTGAATCCGAATATCTCATGGAAACAGTCATCTCCAAGATGAGTGAGCCCTATCCTATTGATCATACTGGTATGCCACATGCCGTATTTGCCAATCCTCAAATTGCAGGAGTCGGCTTAACTGAACAGGAATGTCGTGAAAAGGGTTTGAATTTTGTTTCAGTCAAGAATAATTATTCTGCCTCAGCAATGGGTATGGCCTTATTGAGCGATGAGGGATTTGTGAAACTCCTTGTCGAACGTGGTACACGAAGAATTTTGGGATGCCACATCATTGGACATGAAGCGAGCACTCTATTGCATCAAGTGGGAATTTTGTTCAGAATTCAAGGAGGAGCCAAACTCGATGACTTGTTGAACTGCATTTACATTCATCCTGCCTTGAATGAAATTGTTAGAAATGCAGCAAGAAAAGCCAAACAAGCATTATTGAATGCAGGTGACACAATTCCACCCAATTTATATTTCAAGTAATTTTTAAGATTTATTGTCTTGTTCGATAAATGCTTTTTCATTCATCATGGACTTTTCATCATCGGGCGCATAATTCACACGTTCAATAATTCCTTCCATTGGATCGTGAATCAATACAAGCGCAACAAAATTCACAAAATTCTTAGTTATTATTACAAAAAATGCACCAAAAACCAATACTGACCTTTGATCATCCATGACGACCTCTGAAAACACTTCTCTTTTTTTCTCTCAAACGCCTTCTCCTTTCTTTCTTTATTCTCTCCATTTTTGTCGAATTGGGAGCCATCACATCGACGCTGTCCTATGCTCTCATCGATCGTGTGTCTCCACCAGATCCTTCCACTGTGATCGATGTCAGTATTGCAGTGCCGTGTTTGGTTCATGATTGGCGAGTGAATTGTCAAGACTCACAAATATGTCTCGGAATTTATTGTACTCGATATGTGTCGTCACGTCAAGCCAATGTTTCCTTGTGGTTGAAGTGTGATGATGAATTGTTTTCACACTATTGTTCCTCATGGTCCTCATCATCACTATTGTTCATCCATCATTTGAATGAAAATTATCATTTACAAAATAATTCATCGAATCCACAAGAGAATATTTGGAAATACTTAAATCGACTCACCCTTTCACAACCTTTGTATTCGATTCCAACTCCATCGTCTCCTGTATCTAACATGACTGCCAACATGACAACTTGCTATTTAAGGAAAGATCCAAACATCATTCTCTCCTGTTTCTTTTTTACCATTTCTCAATGATACACAATACAAACAACAATCTTCAAAATATTCGAATTACTTGGTTGTGACAATTATTATTGCACTCACGACGAATATTGTTGGATGTGTACTGATGGTGATTGCATTTGTTGCATGTTGTGGAATTGGTGGAATTGTGAATTGTGGATCCATCATGAAATATTACTTTAAGGAGGAAAGAAATACTCGTGAAATTTATAGAAAACGAGTGTTTTTTGTAAATGGAAGATTGAGATGTTCGGATGGAAGTGATGTTTGAATGTCTTTATAATATTTGTATTCAAATTATTATTCATTTTACAAATCGTTACAACATTTGGGCATTCAATAAGCAAGTGTCGCATCCTTGGAACAATGTTTTGCTTCCAATCGAAACCTGACCACGTCGTGGTCTAACACCATGGTTGCATCCTCTTGCCTGTTCAACAATTCATTTGTAACTCACAATATCTTGCTTTTTCACAGACCATCTGTGACCAATTCATTTCACATGATTCATAATAAAATCACAATCTAAAAAGTTTGATGAAATGGTGACCTTTTTGAGAGAAGCAAGCAATTGGATGACCATGTATTGCATCCATCTCAAATGAATCTCTTTGAAACAAAGACATTTCAAATTTTTCAAATTCGATAACACATGAGAAAGCTCTCGAAAACCAGTCCTTGTATAATGTAAATAGTAATAGTGAAAGTGATAGCAACGAGTGTGACATGGAAATAAATTTCAATCCTTGATCGGTGATTGGAGTATGATATAAACTCAAGTAACTTAAACGATTGAAAGTTCCTTGAGAAATATACTGTAATGCCTTGTCATTCAAATGTTGACATGAATCCATATTGATGCGCTCTAAACTGCTCATTCCACATAAATGTTTCACACCTTCTGCATCGAATACATTTTCACTAATGTCCAAATCAATGACTTTGGGGAGAAGAGATATTGATTTCAAACATTCATTATCCAAATAACACCTTCCCAAAATGAGAGTGGTAATGTGTTGAAATTTGATGAAAAATTTAGAAAGATCCTTTGCTTTTGTGAAATCCAAATGAGCTCTGAAAAATTTCAAGTCATTCTTTCCCTTACATAGCTCTTGTAAAGGTTGTGAGTCATTCAATGACAAGAAATCAATGCGATTCAAATTCGGATGGTTATGATTCAGGAGTGAAAGGTCATGCAAGTGGTGTGCATTGGAGGTACCCTTTTGTTCATTCATATTCAAATTTCCAATAAATAATTCTTTCAATTGTGGGAGGACATTGGAGTTGAGAATTTCAGAAACTCCTTCACATCCTATTGGATTGAAAATTCTCAATGATTCAAGATTGGAATAATTGCCTTTAACAAGAGAGAAATGCCTCGATGATCCAGTCCATTATTGGTGAGGGTCAATTTCTTAAAATGGAACAATCCTTGCATCATGTTTCTAATATCATTCATCGAAAGGCCAATGTTGATCAAATGTAAATCTTTCAATGTTTTCAAATCCACATGATTCGGTGGAATACTACTTGAAACAAAATTCGTGTGGCATAACTGTATAGAGGAAATGGTTTCAGCATAAAACATAGTTTTGAAATGTGCTCTTGTCAAATGACAATCTCTAAATTCAAACTTGGAGAATAATTGAAAAATGTCGTGTTTGCCCTTCGTCTTTTTAAGAAACTTCTCACGTCTCAGTCGATTGCTATACACTCGTTCTAAACATGGGTGGAGACCTGTTGAAGCTTTGGTTGTCGTCATTAACAGAGCCTTTCTCCATTCTGCACACACACCTGCAAGTCGAATGTAATCACTTTGATTCAAAAAGGGAGCCACGCCAAACGCAATGACATCACCACTTAACTGATGTTGATGACAACATTCGTTCTTGCATTTGTGTTTTGGAGAAAATGAACGAGGAGCAGTGCCAATGGAAAGAAGGAACGTCATTTTGTTTGAATGTTGTTTCATATGGAAACAGAGACCGTCGTGAGGGAAGAGGCAAAACCAACAATCTTTCTAATTGTGTTCCATCCGTTAAAAGGCTTTCTTGTCAGCAGGGACGGCTCTCTCTTTTCAAACTTGGGATGATTGAATTCTTTCCAAAATCAAACTGCGTGTCTTTATGCGAACCAGAAAGTTCATCGTTCCCTTGCCTTGGTTCACTCTTTTTCACCCAATCAATGGTCATTACTTGTTAAGTTGAAAGACTTGTATGATTGCACTCGGAACAGTTTCGGTGAAAGTAGTAGGAAAAAGATACCAAAAGACCCAACGCATATGGCATTAATTAATGGATGAAGAATTTAATATTGGCGGAATGGAGAGAGTGAATCCATTCATCACCCAAAAGAACTCACGAGATGATACAGAAATGTGGGCAATTCAACAACAATCTTCATCAAAGCCTTGTTGTTGAGGTTCAATCATCATCAGATTGCACGTTCAATTTATTTTTTTTTCCAATATTCCAAAAAAAATTTGTTGTTGCTGCTCTAACGGATTTCTTTCATCACAACCAATTAGTGTTGGTTCGGAGAAAAAGACGAAGGAAGCAGAATACCGATCTTCATCAATTGATGAGTTCAAAGTTTTTTTAATAATCGATTGATTGATTGAATAGTAATCATTTAAAAAGAGAAACACTTCTTTTTTGATCATTTTGTTGTAAATAGGATTTTATAGAAAATCATTATCCGAACGATATACACATTCACAAAACATCATCATCATGCCAAGACAATACGTAAGAGGAGGCCCTTGGAAAAACAGCGAGGATGAAATCCTAAAGGCTGCCGTTATGAAATATGGTAAAAACCAATGGGCTCGTGTCGCTTCGTTGTTGAACAGAAAATCACCCAAGCAATGTAAGGCCCGTTGGTTTGAATGGCTTGATCCGAGCATTAAAAAGACAGAATGGACAAGAGAGGAGGAAGAGAAATTACTTCATCTCGCTAAAATTATGCCAAGCCAATGGCGATCGATTGCTCCGATTGTTGGACGAACAGCAAGTCAATGTTTGGAACATTATGAACGAATGTTGGATGAGGAACAACGAAAACAAGAAGGTGCTTCGGAATCTTCTGCAGCTTCCTCGTCATCTGCTGATGACCCAAGAAAATTAAGAGTGGGCGAAATTGATCCCAATCCAGAGACAAAACCAGCTCGTCCTGACGCTATCGATATGGATGAAGATGAATTGGAAATGTTAAACGAAGCACGTGCTCGTTTGGCCAACACTCGAGGTAAAAAAGCAAAGAGAAAATTGAGAGAACAAAAATTAGAAGAAGCTCGTCGAGTGACAGCCACTCAAAAAAAGAGAGAATTGAAAGCTGCAGGATTGTTAACAAACACTGCTCCAAAATTGAAGAAGAGAAAGCTCAAACATCCTGGTTCAGACGTTAATTATAATAAGGAAATTCCATTTTACAAGAAACCAGCTCCAGGATTTTATGATACAACCGAGGAGGATAAAAAAACTGTATTGCTTGCGTTCGAAGGAAATTCAATGCAAGCTCTAGAACAAGTACAAAACGAACAAAATGAAGAGAAGGAAAAGAAAAAGGACAAGGTTCAGGTCTTGCTCGACAAAAACTTGCCACAAATTATTAAGAAAATTGATGACATGTCAAATGCCAAAATTAATTACAAAAAGATCAAACTAGCATTACCACCTCCACAAATTACCGATGCCGAGTTGGATCAAATTATCAAAATGGGCAAAAAGTTAAATACTCTTCCAGCAACCTCTCTATCCTCAAATCAGGCAACCAAGCAATTAATGGGAGACTACAAGCCAAACGCTACACCCCTCATTCAAGCAACTAGAACACCAATGAGAGGTGACGTTATTGGAGAACGTATTCGAGAAATTCAACAAATACAGAGCACGCCAACACCCATTCAACTTTCAAGAGAAAGGGAATCTGCTCAATTGACCATTCCTCAAACCTTTTCTGTTGCCTCAACGCCTTCTCAAGTGAAAGCAACTCCTATCATTCATCAGACACCCTTCAGAGATCAACTTCATATTAATACGCCTGGATATGGTGTCGAGTCGTTGGCCGACGATCTACAATTCCACAAACAACAATTGAAAGAAGGTTTCGCAAGTTTACCTACTCCAACTAGTGGCGATTTTGTCGTGTTCAAGAATGCAAATGAACCTGAAGGTGCAATCCCAAAGGAATTCAAAAAGAAATCCATTGACATGGAAGATGCTGGAGTGAAAGAAAAGGATCAGCGAAAGCAGAAAGTTCTGTCCAAACAACAGGAAATGTTTTTGAAGACCTCAGTGGTCAAGAGACATTTACCAAAACCTTCGACTCCAAGTGTTGATCTTTCAATATTTTCACAATCGAAGGAAATCAAGGAAGATGCTGCTGGTGCCGATATTAACACATACCTGCTTGCCAGTGAGCTGATTGCCACCGAGATGCGTGCTCTTGTGAATAGTGATATCTCAGGAGAGCGTGTACACAACCTAGGAATTCCTGAACATTTGTTGTTGAGAGCACGAATTGAGTTAGCTCTGGAAAATGCCACTCAACCTCAACCAAGTTTTGAAGAATTTGCCAAACTTTACAATGAATGTACATTACTTTCTAAGGAGCAAGCTACTCAATTAAGGCAGCCATGGCAACAGTTGCAACAAGAAATTGCACAATTTACATCAGAGCACCTGAAAACAAACCTCTCAAAGATTGACATGTTGAAGGATTATATTACGAAGACAAGTATTGAAATTGCTAAAGCATCTCGAGAGTTGGACAATTACAAACAAATCCAAGAGCAGGAGAGAAGAGCAATTCCATCTCGTTTGTCAGAGTTGCAAGAAGAGGCTTCCTGGTTATCAAGCAGAGAGAAGGAGTTGCAAGAAAGGTACAAGGCTCTTTTGGACGAAAAGGATCAGCTCAAAATTATTAATCTTGATGATGTCATGATGACAGCGAATGACGAAGAATAAATATTTGTTTCCAATTAATTGAATCTCGTTATTCACCACTTAACTGTTTACACAAAGACCCAACATAATTAATAACTTGCACATTTAGAAATAATGTTCATTTGTTGTTAAATTATAATAATTTGTTATACATCTTTCATGGTAACATCATTTTCTTCTTCCAAAATATGTTGTGTATTATCATTCATAATTTCTTCTTGGCTTAATTCCATATGACGACCTGAGCCATCGTCATAAAAATCGGAAAGGAATGAACTCACAGTTAAGCACTTTTCTATCGACGAAAGTAAATGACCTAGTTTTTTGTAGTGTCTGTTGGGTTGAGTTAATAACTCACACAAACGTTGTAGCGTGAATGGAGGATTGCTATTCAAAATAATGAAAATCATTAGTTCAATCACACAATAAATTTGATCAAGTCGAAGGATCGTCATTTTAAGAATAGGAAAAATTAATGGATGGATATTTTCGAGCGAGTGAGTGGATGATCAAAGTGCCAACATTTGATTCGAATACAAGATATTATCAATTTTCGTAAATATATCGAAACACACATAACATGATCATTCCTATCTTATCTTGCCAATTTCTCTTCATCATCAAGACTTACCTAGCAAATTTAACAAGATGATGATCGATCGACTGCATGAGTGGTTCAAATCCGTCTTGATTATTTCCGAATGATTTTCGTACATCGTGAATTTTGTATGACATAAAAAGATATAATTGATTCCAATCGTAACACTTGTGCATATCCAAATTAGAAGCAATACTCTGCAGTATAGAATCTAAGACTTCCATACTGTATTGAACATTTTGTGTAGAAGTATTGTTATTGTTATTATTTGATGATGTTGCATCACCAGATCCCTCCGAGGATGATGATGAGGCTTGTTGCAACGACGATACCACATTTGGTAACACCTTCTCCGAAGCAGAAGAGGCAAACATGGAGAGATGATGCAATTGCTCTTTACTCATTTTTTTTAATAAATTTTCTTGCTTTACAACTTCTTGGAATTCAAAGAAGGAACAAGAACATGTTTCTATTCAAATTTATTCGTTTTTTATATTGAAGATCACTTGTTTGTTGCGCCAAATAAAAACATTGCAAAACATTGTTAATTAATGTCACTAGTATTCAATTTGTGTTCGTGATGATCCTAATTATTGGTTACATCGAAGTTTGTGTAAGGGCCAATCCGCAAGTTGACATTCCTTAGAGCAATAAAACACTTTACGACAACCACCACATCTCGATTTCGCTCCATACTTGGCACAATAGTTACAGCGATCAATAATTTTTGGTTTCTGTTGAGGTCCATTAAAACCTGCAAAATCAGCACCATTATCTTCGGACTCAAAACCAAAATTCACACGTCGATCGTCTCCGTATAAACCCATTCTCTTTGAAATGACCATTACAGCAGCTTGACAATTCTGATTAAGGTGAGGATTAAGTCCTTGTGCTTCTTTTGTGATAAATCCGAAATATTTCAGATATTCAGGAGTGGCAACAACAGTGGGGTCTGTACACAATTCAGAAAATGCGAAAAATATGGAAATGGTGTTGACGAGATTTGCCTGAACTCTCACTGGGCTAAGTAGGAACATTTTCATGTAATAAATGATTCCTTGAGGTGTGTTATTCATGACCAGGTTGACCAATGATTCTGAATTGCAAAGTTTTGAAAGTAATGCACTGGCATGTCGCATGAGTGAACATTGATGATCGTCGAGGGTAGTTGTGCTGATAGGAATATGATGTTGGAGTGATTTTGCGGTTAATACTAAAAGCTCTTCCAAGTCCTTTTGAGAAAGTTTGGACTTGAACTCATTGAAATAGAGAAATAGTATTAAAGTTCGAATAGACATATTACAAATTTCACAAGTTTCGCTCTTGTAATTTCTCAGAACGTCAATCATCTTGGACATAATTTGATGCTTTTCTTCGATGGGTCTTCGATCTGACAATACCAAATTTTGAATGACATTACAGACCACATTCAAAGCAAATTCTTTAACATTTGAGAAGGGCTTGGTAAGAACTTTAAGGCAATAGATATTCCATCTGCTTTGAGCACATCCTTAGGACGATCCCAGGCCATATTTTGAATGAGATGTAACAATAATGCAACAACTTCGGCGTTAAACAATTGTTGTTGTTGAGGGGTGTCTTTTTTGATGAGATCCATAATTGGAGTAAAACATCCGACATTAAATAATTTCTAACAATACAAGACACGAGTCAACAATTTCCACAGAAGCACAAACTAACTCTACTTACGGTTGTTACAAACAGTTTGTCTTCATCTGCTTCTGCTAATGAGCGATAAATGTTGTGCAAGAGAAAACAACCCATTAATTTTGATTGAATATCTTGATGCAATATTAATGAAAAAGCTAAGCTCAGAATACTTCCAAATTGTAACCCTTCCAAGTCACCACACGTTTCAGAAATTCTTCTCCATAAAAATTTCGTAACAACTGAACTGTGTGAGCTAGTATTCTGTAATTACTAAATCTATTTGGCCTAAACAACAGCCGTTCGAAAACAGCAGCCAGTCCCTTTGTTGTAGAATATTTCTTTTTTTTGCTGTCGTCGAAGAAAATGGAAACGTTTGCAAGAAATGTCGCCACTGCTTCCAAATTTTCATCCGAAATGTTTGGATGCTGTAAAAATCCAATCCAATCTTCTTCAATATTATTTTTAAGTAATCTCATGGACTGAGATGGCGAAGTGCTCACATCGACCATCGTATTGCATTGCTCTATAATTGATAGATTTTTCAATAATAAATCTCTAGCAGTGGCTGTAATTTTTCTGATCTCTTGAATAAAGGTTTCATCAGGAAGACCTTGCCACGTTTGTGAACCTGAATTAGTACTTTCTCTATTTCATAAATTCGAATAACTGAGCTTGATTTTCATAGGCAACACCAATAATGGTTGGTGTTGTGGTTGATGATGGCTCTGGTTTTTTAGTTTTCCTTTCTGCCTTGGCGCTGCTTTTTGCTTCTTCCACTCGCTTTTCAGATGTTTTCATTGCTTCTTCTGGAACCTCTAAATTGATGCCATATGGTTTGCATCGTTGTTGGAATACTTTCAATACATTGATGTGACCATAATTGCTGGCAATATCAAAGCATGTTGCAGAGGTAATTTTCGAGTTGCTTCCTGAAACATTGGTCGTGGGTGTCAGGATTGCCTGCGCATATTTCAACTTTTCTTCTCTAGTTTTGCACTTGGCGTCAATGTAATCAAATAATAAATTCACAATTCGTTCATTTCCTACAAAAGCAGCACACACAAAGGCATTATTTCCCACATTATCCAGTAAGGTTGGATCAGCTCCCTTAGAAAGTAACATCTCAACCACGTCGGCATAACCTTTCATACAGGCTGCATGGAGAGGAAGAGGAACTTTAGGTGACACTCTATTCACATCAATTTTTTGCTTTGGGTGGTTGAGCAATAGTTTTACGACCTCGGCCTGTCCCGAAACACATGCACTCACCAACGGTGTGACCATGGGCTCTATGGTTACCGAAGGTTGATTAATGTCAAAGTCATCACATTCTAACAATAATTTCACACATTGAATGTATCCTGAACCAATTGCAATATGGATACAATCAGGAACGGGTTTAACATGGTTTGCCAATAATACTTTCAGACAATCGCTGTATCCTTTTGAGCAAGCCATCATTGTCATAGGAAGCATCTTCTCATGATTTTTCTGGTTTTCTTTGATAGAGAACCAAGATCGATCAATGTTTGAGTACATTGATAATGTCCATAGTATACTGAGAGAGCAAGAGGTGTTAATTTTTCGTTGGTTTCCAAGAACATGTTTGCTCCTAATTCCTTCACTAGAATTTCGATAATTTGAGCATGCACACAGTGTTGATCTGAATGATCACATGGCGCCTTTGTAATTGCATTTGTGCCTTGTATCTCTTGGACAACCGTTTGGTTTCCGTGACATGCACAATGAAGCGCTGATTTTCCATCTTGGCCTTGTGCATCAACTTTAAGTAGATGCTTAAAGTTACTGGCAAGATATTTGACAACTGACACAGCCCCTCGTTCTGATGCAATGTGTAAAATGTTTCTCCCATTTCCTATTGCACTGAAAAGCAAAGTGTCCAGTGAGAGAATATTCTTTTTGACCAGATTCGATTCAAAAATGATTTTTAAGCATTCTACTGAATCTCTATTCGCTGAACACATCGTGGGAGGTGGTGTCATTAAGCTTTTTGATTGAAATGTTTCTTTCAGTATTTATGATGTTTGCTTTTCATCCTTTTCGAGTTGCTCATCAATAAAGTTCAACAACACTTGTAGCATGTCAGCGACATTAAAGAGGCAACATAAATGAAGCACAGTGAAGTAAAATGGTTGACTGGTCTTTGCCTTCCAATCTGCCCCTTTTTCTAGCAAATATTTCAGCATATCAGGAGTGCCCTTCAGTACACAGTAATGTAATGGAGTAACAGAAGTACCAAATCCAAATTCGAAATTTAGAGGCATATTCACAGAATAGCCGAGATCTGTGAGACATTTCGTAACATCTTCAAAGTCATTATTATTGATGGATACAAAGAGTTGAGGGAGAGCAAAGGAATCCATTTTCTTTTTTACCTGCTCCAATTCCTTGTTCTTACTCACAGGCTTTGATGGTGTTTGTTGTTGTCTTGTTTTGCTTTTTTCTTGCATCGATTCGATTTGATTTTTCAAATTGGTAATCATTTCAATTCCTTGCTCGACCTTGGATGAGGAGAGAGATGCGTCTTCTCCGTTATTGCTTGATGATTGCAATGCAGATAAACCTTGATCACAACAATGTTTGGCCTCTTCGTACTCTTGTAAAGCAGCCAATGAAGCAGCCTTTACATGATAGGCTTTCCACCATTTTGGGTCTAATTGAAGTGCTGTTTCTGCATCGTTGATCGCATTCCGGTATTGTCCTATTTTATAAAACACTTGTGCACGGTTAGAAACATTTAAAACATTGTTGGAATCCAATAAAATCGCCTGAGTATACGATGTTATGGCAGCATCAAATTGTTGTTGTCGGAATTGTTCATTTCCACGTTCTCTTTCTTGATCGGAACGTTGCTTATCCGAGAGAGGCTGTGGTTGTTGTTTGTGTTGTGAAGATTTGGTTGATTTCTTGGATTTCGAGCTGGATGGTTTTTTGGGCATTGTTTTGTAACAAAATTGTTCGAATCCTTTCGGTTGACTTGCAAAATATTGTGGATTTGGAAATTCTCTATTAAAGCTGTAATTTATACATTCATAATTTCAGATTCCCATGTACAACATTTCTGAAAGGTTGTTGTAGCTTCAACTGATTCTGAAATTATTTAATTATGTAATTGACCACATAAAAGGAAAGTATGGAACTGTTGCTGTAACCAAACAATGAAGAATTTTCACAAGACAGGTCTCATTCTGAACTCGTTTCACATCTTTTTGAAGTCCTTCCTCACACTGAGTCTCTTGTTGTGTCTATGGTTTGGAGTGGTATTTAGCATGTCGTCCACTCCTTCATTCACACATGCCTCACAAATCAAAGCACTTGCCGATTGGCCCAATCGAAGAAAGAAACAACAAGAAGAACGTATTCGTAAAGATTATGAAAATGCTGAGAAACATAGACGTCATTGGATGATGATGGTTGGTCCTTCTTCTTCTCAACCAAAATCTTCATTTTCGAATATTGGAACATTCAATCGTGTTGGATGGCCTAATCGAAGAAAGGAAGAGCAAGAAGAGAGAATTCTAAAGGATTCTGAAAAAAGAAAACATCACTGGTTGATGTTGAAACGATTGTTGTCAAACTTGGATAAGAGTTCAAGAACAACATTGAACGGATTCGTGAGATGGCCCAATCGTAGAAAACAACAACAAGAACGCATTCGTAAAGATTATGAAAATGCTGAGAAACATCAACGTCATTGGATGGTGAATAAGGAGGATGAAGACACAAAACTTGAAGAGATGGTTCGTTCTGTGTTTGATGAAGTCTTGTTGTTGGGTCGTGACAACCATGAAGAAGAACATTAGAGAAATGCATGAGTTTTCACACAACAACAGCCACTTGTTCAAACCAATTGTGCATGAGCTGTCTAAATAGGTTTTCTTTGTGCCACATGAATAAATGGCGTATATAAAACGTTGAAAGCTCCAGCTCATGATATCCAAAATATCAGGCACACATCTACCATTCAATCAAGGTATTGATGGAATGGTAGGATTTGCAGTCGATAAGATACTTGATCCAATTGCTCCGGATATTCAAGATGATGTGCCTTTTTTAATGTTTATTCCTTTTTTATGGATATCACAACAGGTCAACACTAGCCGAATAATAAAGCTTATAAAAGAAGATACTTAACATATTCAAGGCCAAACGCGTTTTCAGGACCCTCCAAGTAAGGAGACATTTCAGATGAGTCAAAGTAAACTGTTGTAGTTCACTGAACTTCAATTGCCACAAGTCCACCGCTCTCACTAATTGTTGAAACAAACATCCTTTCCAAATAATTGTAGATGGCTGTCTAGAAAAATGTAAATTGTTTTTCATAAGTTACGGAAGTTTTATTATTGAATTAGATATAGTTGGAATTGAAAAAAACATGGATAAAAACAAATCATCTTCTAATCGAGAAATGGTGATTGATTTTGTGCATGGTGAGTGATACAAGATGCATCTTCTTCCGTTTCCTCTGTTGTTTCAGGATCAGATGAAAATAGCTCTTTGTTCCAATCCTCTTGTTCATCAAATAAGAGTTGTTTCAATTCATCATCTTCAAATAATGATAATTCATCATTTTCACATTGCTCAATGTTGCCATAGTTCTCCATTAAAGCCACCACACTACTTGTCTCGAAGGAACCTGTCTCACCTTCATTGGAAAATGATGGTGTTTCGACAAGTGCATCGATTAAGGAGTGTTGATTTGGCGCTTGTTCAACAGGTGGACGTTGATCAAGGGTCTCAGTCACCTGTTGTTGAAAAGTTGGAACATTGGCAGTAACAAAAGGCCATTGGATGCTCATTGGAAAGAACAGAGGCATCACATGGTTTGGTGGAAGAGGTGGTGGTGGTGAAGGATAGTAATGCCACCAAAATGGAATTGCTTGAATGTCGGGA